CTTTATAACATGCATGTTAGGTCTCTTGTTTCTGCCCCCCAGGTCCTCCAGTCTTGCATCTATTTTTTCCCCCAGTCTGTTTTTCTCCGTTGCTCAGACTAATTGATTGCCTTTGATCTTTCTTTGAGCTTACTGATTTCTTTTCTCTCTCATATCTGATCTGTTGGGCTTACCCAGTGAGTTTGCAGTTTGGCTTTTTAAATTTTCAGTTGTTTAATTTCCACTTGATTCTTTTGCATATCTTCTCTCTCTTTGCCTAGTTGATAATGACAAAGAGGGACTCTGAGAAAACAGGCAAAACTGTAGTAGCCAAGTCATGGTTCTCTGGAGGAACGGAAGGCTTACAGGCGCCTGTGTTGGTATCCACAAATATTTCTGAGAACAAATATTATAACTGGGGGCGATCTGCAGGTTGTCCAGAGTTGTCTTCTCCAGGAAAGGCTTCTGTGTAACGTCCCCCAGCTCTGTAAACCCTGTTATAGCCTTAAGGCAGAAGGGGTCAGTCCTCCAGGATTACTCTCCCCTTTGGGGTTGAACACCCCCCGATTACCCACTTGTCTAAGACCTCTGTCTGTCTTTTATGCCCCGAGTGCTTGGTCTTTAATTTTTTCCCTCTTGATCCCTTCTAGCCTCATAATCGATACCTGTGTTGCGGTGTCTTTCTGCCACACATGTCCATTGAGCTCTGCCTGTTTCTCCCACAAACACATTCTGTGTAACTGTTGTGTCCACTTTTGTCCCCACCCTCTTACATCCCTTTCACTCCGCTGACAACTAAAATACGGCCTCTACTGCCCTGGCTGGTTGGTTGGGCATCATCCTGTGCACCAGGAGGTTGCTGATAATGATTCCTGGTCAAGGGCACATACTTGGGTTTTGGGCTCTATCCCCAGTAGGGGGTGTGCAGGAGGGAGCTGATCAGTGTTGCCCTCTCACATTGATGTTTCTCTGTCTCCCTCTCCCCCTCTCTCTAAAAATCAATAAACTATTTTTAAAAAGAGAGAATCGCCTCTACCACTGTCACCTGACTTAAGCAGGTCTCATGAAGTTCCCCTTTGCCCCTTCCCCATCCCCCACCTCCATTGTTGGGCCTTTTTACTGCTGCCCTCCTCTCTGACTTGAGGGTCCTTACCTGGTTTCTGTGAGTTCCTTTCCTTTTCCCTCAGAGGATCTGTGTCTTCCATCTATTAAACCGTTGTACTTCCTAGGACCCATCTGTGGTCATTGCTTTCTCATGTGTGATGTGTTCCACAGGTGAGTTAATTCCCTCAAGGCATTTTACTCACAATGATCTACACTTCCCCCAGATCCATATCTCCAGGTTAGATGTTTCTCCTGTTATCTACTGATCATCCTTCCACACCTCGGTGTACGTATACACTGAGTTTATGCATGTGTCAGGTAGCCATGGAGATGGATGCATCATAATCATAAGAGCAAAGAAACGTACAGTATTACTATGTTTTGAATGTTGTACACACATCACCTCTTAATCTTTGCAATACGTCTGTGTTATCCTCATTTTACAGATGAGAAAACATGAGGAGCAGAAAGGTTAAGGAATTTGCCCAAAGTTGTACAACTGATGAGGAAGCATGAGATTCCCTAATCTCAGGGATTGGAGGCCAGTTAGGGTGGCTGCAGAATCCATGCCCTTATCATTTTCCTGTATTCCTTCTCACAGGGTCTTTGTTTTCCTCATCACCATTCATTTTTACTGAAATGGATCAAATAATGCTCATTTAGCCGTCACCTCCTCTCATTTGACGCTACATCTGGTCCAGTCCTTCAGATTGAGCGAGATAAGCCAAGCTCACTCTTTAAAGGCTGGATAATGTGTTGTATCTCTGTAGAAAACACAGACTTATGGGTTTGAGGTTGGGGGAAGGTAGGGAAAGGCTAAGGCACGTTTTTGGTTTTAGACATTGTGTTTGAAGTGCCTGAAAACCATCTTAGTGAATCCCATTATCTTCTGTCTTATCCAAGCCAGAGTCCTCACAGCCATTTTTTTCCATCACCCGACATCCAGCCACTGTCTCATTTTCATCTTAGCATTTCATTTACCTTAGTAGACACTCAATATGTGTTTTAGGGAATGGCCACACACAGCACTATGTCTTTATTGTAATGTTTGGGCACCTCACAGAATGCTTATTACAAAGCTGTGTATATAGTCGGCACAGCATAGGATGGGTGGACATCAAAGAGAAACTACACAGATCTATAAGACTTTCCAAGTTATAATGACTACCCCAGGTTTGATGATTTGCTACGAAGACTCCAAGGATTCAGCATATTATCTCACTCAACGGCTATGATTTATTACAGCAAAATGATACAAAACAAATTCAGCCAAGGGGGAAGGCTCGAGGACTGAAGGCAGGAAATCGGGGACAAGCTGTAGGAGTTCTGAAAGCTTACTGACGCTTCGTCCATGAGCCATGACTGCGCGTGAAATGTCCACAAGGGGAGTTCATTAGACACTCAGTGCCCAGGGGTTTTATTGGGTGCTCTTTGTCCAGAACATAGCCAAGCTTCTAGACCTCCAGCAGACAGCAGGTCACCAGCACACGCCACATTGTTTACACTGAGCCATTCATCCTTTCTGGGAGTGGTGGGAGACCTAAGGTCCCCAAATTCCACCCAGGGCAAACTTTGAAGCTCAAAGGATAGCAGTCTAAGCTCTGCTATGTTAACTCTTCCCAGTGACTAGAATAATGTTTTGGGTAAGTTCAAACATCTAACAAATATTCAATAAGTTTCCTACAACAAAAAATGTCAGCTTTGAGGCGAAGGCTCATATACATGTAAACCATTGTAACTAAAACAATCAGGTAACTCACAGTGGAAATTCTTTCCAAGCAGTCGGGATTGAATTTAGTGATAGCAAAGTACAGAGAATGGTGAGAAAGGACCTTCTCTCTCCAAACATATCTATATAGATATGTCTCCAAGTGATTCCACTTGCAAATATCCCTTTGTTTGCCATTATTTTACAAAGGTGTGATAGCCAGGTTAATGCTGTCTGTTTCCATGCACAGATGTCAACGATTTCTCATTTACTCTTTGTTCTCATTGTTGAAACTTGTAGCCTTTGCATCAAGAAAGAGTAAAAGCATATGGGGTCAAAACAATTCTTGTATCATTAAATGTGCATAACTTGAGATTAAAGAGTGTGTTGTTGCAGGCTTCAGTCACAGGTATCTGTGTGTTTCACTGGGAAGGAGTGGGGGCTGGGAGGGCCCGCGACAGAGACTCCGTGCTGAAGAGCTGCCAGAACCTGGTCTGTGGGTGCAGCTCGCCTTTGTACTCACACCCCAGCCCACAGGTGGCCTTCGCTGTCTCTTGTGAGAAGCTGGGGTGCCTCTGAATTGCTCAGTGATGTCACCCTTGTGTTTTTCGGGTTATCATTTACAATGTGTTTGCTCACAGGTATGTTGCACATCTCATAATTAAACTGTCCCTGCTAAATTGTAAATGACCAGTGACAAGAGCCTGGGCCCCCTGGTCAGACTACCTGGTTGTACATCCTGGCCTTGTTCTTACCCGATGGATGACTTTAAGGAGATTCCTGTGCACTCTTTTTATAACTTGGAGATCCACATATTAAGCATAGTTTTTTCCCCTGATGTCTTGGCACCTGACACCGTGCTCATGCTGGAGAGACTGCTCTTCCAGGGCCAGAAGATGATTCCTAGAGGTAGCAAAAGACTCCCGCGCGCGTGCCTTTTACAGGCCAACAGGCCAACCCGGAGCGCTCGCCCCTCGCCTGCCCGGTTCAAGGCCTCACACACGGAGCCATTTCTCCTCGCCCTGCTCCATCCAGGGCCCGGGCCGGACGAACAGGGCCGACTCCCCGACCCCCCGAGGCGGGCCTCCCGGGAACGTGCACCCG